TCAGAAAATAAATATCTCCTTATAAAAGCATTCATATAATGTAGCAATTTCATATCAATGTAACAGGCATCAGACAAAACAGACTACATATTTAAAAGTTTAAAACCTATTTCCAAAAGGGATCACTCCAGTATTTTTAGATTTAAACTGTTAAAAATCTACATTCAGTTATGTTGAATAAACTTGATCGGTAAAATGTGACCCCCAGGTCTGTCTTTATATGTATTTCTTAGAAATATTAGGGTCATGCTTTGCTTTCAGGTATAGCAAAGGTCTGTTAAGATGAAATACAATGACAGTCAAATATATTCATTATCTGCCAGAACTGGCCAGTTTCCAAAGCTATGCATACCACGTGATTGACTATTACATGAGGCATAGTTTGTTTCTTACTTCTGCAAACTTAAATGAGCTTCGATGAACACTTTCTTACCTCATCCATGATCTTAGCATTATTTAAAGCTAAGACCATGTTCATGGAATCCATAGGAACAGAATACTTCAGCTTGTCTGGATGCTGGCGATACTTCTTTTCACTAAGAATTTCCATTGCTTTTTTGTTCTTCTCAACTTCCAGGGAGCCCAGTGGCATCCACCCAATACCCTTCATATTTTCGTCATAGTCTGCTCTGTACTGATTCTGGAAGCAGAAAGAAAAGAAAATAATCAGATGCATGAAAAAGTCTGTAAATCATGACACTTCTTGGTGTGTTTAATGAATACCAGATTTTGAAAGCACTTATTCTAAAAAGAGGCAAAGAGTATCAAGATACATTCAAGGTTTATTTAGAAACACATCTGTTACAGTGGTGGTCTATTTTATTATTCTGCCTTTTATACAGTGTCCAAATGCTCCTTATGATCTATATAGATTGCTCACATGAGATTACATGCTAAGGCCCTCTTGAAGAAGAGGATTACCTTGAACCACTATACTGAGAAAAAAAGGCCCTCTTCTCTAGATGTTAAATATCGCAGAAAATCTGAGAATATAGCTACTTAGTTGGTTTCCCCTTCTTCTGAAAATATATCTTTTTGGAAGTACAAGATAAAACTATCAATGAAAAGTAAAGCTTTGGCTTGCACACAAGGACTGCTCCTGAAGAGCCTGATGGGACACGTAAGCAGTCAATATTCATTTTACTTTATACATAAAATTACTTATTTCCAAGCCCAAATTCTTTAGCAATATGTGTAATTTAGTATTTCAGAGTCTTAGAAAAATACAACGGCTATCATTGAAGGTCTTATTTCATTTACTACATTTTACTATGTAACTGAACTAGTTTCACTAAGAAAGCAGTATTATTTATCTTACAGCAGGCTTTCATAAACAAAGCATCACTGTATTCATAACGCAAAGGTTGAAGAATCTCTCACTTACATCACTTTGTAATTGCATCATGTTTTTGGCTAATTCAAGACTCATAGCATCAGGCAAAACATTGTAGGTATGGATCAAGCTTCTGTAATTTGCATTTGTAGCCACTTCCTGTGCTTTCTTCGCTGCCACAACACTGATCATGTCAACTGGAGTATGGAAATTAGTCTTTGCCTTCTCATAATCTTTTTTGTATTCACGATCAGATTGCATCTTAGCCACCTGCATGAAGTGCACCAGCTTGGGGTCGTCTTCAAGGCTGCGGAACCCAATATGCTTTCCTTTCTCTTTTTCGTAGGCTAGTTTGTATTTATACTGACAGCAGGAAAGAGAAAGAACAGCAAAAACTTTTTAAAAAAATGCACTATTAAGGTCAGTTTTATCTCTGAAAACATAGAAAATATCTGTTATTTTTCTTCACAAGATCTCAGGTTTAGTCATGTAAACACACTTCAGTCTTACAAAATAGCCCATTTAACAGTTACATGAAGCTCAGCAGCTTGCTGGACAAAGAGCAAAAAAAGCACAATTCAGTGTTATTTCACTGGAGAGCAAGTACTGGACAAGTTTATCCCATCAAGCATATAATGGAAAGCTAGAAAACTCAGGGTGCTTGAAAACAACACATTTACACATGACAGAGCACTTTGAAAATGTCTTTGTAGCTGCTCTAGGTACTATCATGCAATCACACTTACATCACTTGCAATGTCCCTGGAAGCTTTTGCTGCTTTTATTGGAATAGCATCTGGCTTCATGTCATAACCTTTCTTCTTCTCTTCCTCCCATCCAGCTTTGTAAAGTTTCTAATTTAACATGTAAAAGAGAACAGGTATTCTATTATGAAGGCAGAACCACTGAAGTACCCTATATCTGAATTTGAACATTTTCAAAAAAGACACAAAAATGACACCAATTTTTGAACTATGCAGCAGACACCAAATGCCCACCATGAGCATGGTAACTCACATTACTCATTGTGATCTGGTTCACTCTAGACTGCAGAATTTCTGGAGTATCTGGCATAACATGAATGCTGGTCTTCTCTTTGTTCCATTTATCAGTGTAGAGCCTCTGCAATTACAAAGTAATATTCAGCATTGAAAAGGCATTGTATTCATAAAATAAGAGCTTGTTTTTGTCTTGCTCATTTGCAATATGTAATATTTTACAGTAAAGTTCCATAAGCATTACAAATAATCTTCACAAACATAGCTGCCAAGTGGCAATATTACATTCCTCTTCTTTCCTTAGTACTTTGAGAGATTTGCAAAGTATATTTTGATAACTAATTAATATTGAAAACGAAAATTTTCAGTCTGCATTCTTCCCTGCTTCAATACAAACCATAAATTATTTTTTTTCCACACACCCTCTTTCCATGCCAAACATGGAATAAGGATCAGTGGCGGCCCAGATAACCAGGGACAAATCTAAACAACTCCACTTTTCAAGGAAACTTTTACAAAACTGACAGAATTTCATGTTTTTTTCAGCTCACTGACTATGAATACTACTTCCTACAGGAAAAGAGCAAAGGTTACCAAAGCACTGTAAATCTGGAGAAGACATCTTTAATCACATACAGAGAATAAAAATCTTTAATCTTTATAAACAGAAAATGAAACTCCTTTAATTATCAATACAGTCTGAGGCTTCCATCATCTCTTAGCGTCCAGTCTTGACCAAACCAACCACTATACCCATTTGAAATTCTGATTACTTCAGTAGGAATGCACCTGCCTCACAATTTTGCAAGACAAAGACCCAATCTCTGGCTCAGTCACGATCATCTGAACAAATTCTCACCTTATTCATGGTATCAGCATTTTTCTTAGCTAGCACTTGTTCCATTGAATCCATTGTAATAGAATACTTCAGCTTGTCGGGGTGCTGGCGGTACTTCTTTTCACTGAGAATCTCTGCAGCTTTTTTGGCTTTTTCTACATCCAGTGACTGAATTGGTATCCAGCCGACTCCTTTCAACCAGTTATTAAAGTCTGCTTTGTATACATTCTTTTAAAAAATAAACAAGGAAAACCACAGTGAGACAGGGAGAATTAGAATGCCCGTATACATAAAAACAGGTAAGGCCTTAAAACTTCTCCTGGTCATACATTTCTGAAGGAAAATTTAGACAAGCCTGTTGTAACTGCTGTTGTCTTCCAAATTCTTAGCATAACATTAACAACCGTTTATGTGTTAGGGATAAAGAAACTCTTTGCACTAAAACAATGTGTAGAACTCACAACCCAAATGTACAGACCTTAGAACAAATTCTGAATGGTATGAAAATATGACAAAAATAGAATTTTTTAAAAATTACACTCTTGTTTGTTAGTGGGCTAAGTTCACATCAGAATTAATTCAGAGAAATGATTTCAACAACAACTGCTTAATGGCTTGGTTCTGCACAATCTTCAATAGGCACCATTCTTATTTAATCATACTTTGTAACATGGCTTTTAGAACAAAAAAAAGTACAAAAATCCTGTGAAAATAAAACCTGTTTCCAAACTGCCCTGTTAGAAGTATCAGACTCTGAGAAAAAGACCACATACTGTCATAGCATGTGTACACAGGGCCAAATTTGTCCCCAGGTACCATGCTTCTCTCCTTGTAAGCATCCTGAGTTACACAACCAAGCAAGCTCAGCCAACTCAGCAAGGCTAGGTAAAAATACAATGGGGAAGCAAAAAACTTGGGGTGAAAATCTCAGTATTTGAAAAGACCAGTGTGTAAAGGTCAGATCTGTGGGCCAATGGGAACATGTACACTATCCTCTCCAAACAATGCTTAGAATTGAAGAACACTTTCAATCAGATTAACTTTTTTGAGAATTTCAAATTTGTCAGAGGACTGTTATGTAATGCAGATTAAACTAAATAGTTTCCGGATAAATAAGCAGACCTTAAAGTTACACTAGTGAAACAAAATGGAAATGAGTCACAAAACTTAATGGAAACTACAAAGCTGTTGGAGGATAAAGGCAGGAAGGAAAAGTGAACAAAATAAAATATCGAGGTATAATACAAGGATACATAATGTATATTTTCAGTAAACTTAAATAAAATATAGTCAGAATTTAGATTCTATACATAACTTATGAGCTCTAAGAATATAAATAATAATCATAGTAATAACACATTGTAATTACAAATCCAACTACAAAAATATATTAATTAGAAAAACATGTTAATTTGCTGAGAATTAGCCAAATATGTAGAGATTCTGTGATTCTGTGAGATACAAAGATACAAAGAAAGTTGTTCTTTGCTAGGTAAGTTCCCTAGAACTTATCAGCTACATATACTTCTGATGATCTTTGGAAAATACAGGGTTCCAGAGCAGATATTTACATCTCAATCTACTGTTAGTCAAATATAGTTCATTTTTTAGCCATAAAAAGTTAGTGTAACACAGTCATTATGAGAAGGAAAAAAAAAAGCTGATTACTCATTACATACATCACTCTGAAGCTGCATCACATTTTTCGATAGCTCCAGATTCACAGCATCAGGGAGGAGTGTATAATGGTGAATCAGCTGTTTATAGCCAGCATTTGTAACCGCTTCCTGGGCTTTCTTGGCAGCCGTCACGCTGAACATATCCAAAGGAGTATGATATTTGGTCTTGGCGACTTCATAATCCTTCTTGTATTCACGATCTGATTGCATTTTGGCCACATTCATGTAATGAACAAGTTTAGGATCATCCTGCAGGCTACGGTAACCAACCTGTTTGCCTTTATCTTTCTCATATGATTCCTTGTACTTGTACTGGAGACAAAGGAAAAGAAAGCCTTACCCACTTTGGAAAGAGAAAATATACTTTTGACAATTCCAATACTTTGAAATTCAATATTTTAACAACTGCAGTTCATTCTATAAACTCACAACTTGTTTTTCAGACAGCACAAGATTATTTAGGTCAAGAAAAGAAGAGGATTGCTAGATTTCTCAGCTGGTCTTGACCCCTGGTACAGATCTAAATCTAGATACACAGTTACATGCCCTCCCTTGCCATTGCCTCTGCCATACTGTATTTTACTGCCATAGACAGAAAACTCCCAGGAACATTCAGCTTTTAATTGAAAGACCAGCATTACAACATATTACTGAAAAGCCCAAGACTACCAAACAACTGGATATCCCAGTATTTGGCAACCGGGGACAGGCATGTTTAAGTGGGGAATGGAAGTCATCTGCAGCCCTTTGCTAAAGTTAGTGAATTCATTTCTGTGTTCCAAGTCTCCTTTCATAGCTTGTGTGAGATGGCACACAAAGCTTTACTGTTGCCAATTAACAGTTCCCTGAAAACAGCCACACTTCTGTACAGCTCGTGAATGCTAGAGAAGCAGAAATACAGGTCTCCAGCAATTAAGAATACAGCACAGTTAAACTGTAACAAAGGAACTTTCGAATAAGCAGGTGAATACCTGAAGCACATATAACAAATAGCCCCAGCTCCCCAGCACCCACACATGTTATGATGTATTTCCAAAAAACCTGGTTTTTTGGAAGTTCATGTAAACATCTGAATTCCCTTGTTATTTCACAGTATCATACGAATTTCAATTCTCAGAGTTACATGTCTCTACACCTCTATAGCATAATACGCTAAAGAAAGCTGTAACACAGCAGATGCATGTATCCCACTTCATGTAAATTATACTTACATCACTTGCAATATTTCGAGAAGCTTTAGCAGCAATAATAGGAATGGCATCTGGTTTCAGATCATATCCTTTGGCAATGGTTTTTTTCCAGTCTGCTTTGTAGTTAGACTTATAGGGGAAAAAAGGTATGAGTTCGGAATGTTACGAGTAGCAATTTTAACAAAGTTGTTTAAATCCATATTTTTATTATAGGAATCAAAATATTCAGTTTATTCTGTGCAGTTGCAAGGAAAAATGTATAACTACAGTTATATTATGATAAATAAATCTATTCCAAAGATAGGAGAGTCCTTCAAGACAATCAGTTTAATTAATGTAGCTAATTAACATGGATAAAAGATAGATAAAAGTAGATGACATAAGTCTCCAACCCTATAGGAATTTGAATAATGTCATGCTGGTTTTTTTTATTCAGTCTATCCAAGTAGTTTGGCAATAAAGCACTGAAATATTTTTATGTTCATGGGTGCTCAGACTGCTTAAAAAATTGCTTAACAAGCACAAAACACATTGACTTCAGAGCTTGTGCATTTCTATATTCAATATCATAGCACAAATAAATAAAGCAGGTTTTTTCTATTAAGTAAATGACAAATAAATATATTATTGAACAAACTATTGGGTATATGCTCACATCACTCAAATTGTAGGCGTTGACCCTGGCTTGAATAAACTGCGGGACATCAGCATCCAGGGTATATCTGTGTTTTACTTTTTCACCCTCTTGCTTATATTTTATCTGCAAGGAAATATAAACAAATACTTGTTGACAAGTACAAGGCAGGTATCAGTGTTAACAAATTGAGACAAGGCAACAATGCTTAATTCTTACCAACAAATTACAATTGTACTATTTTTACAGTTTTTAAAATTTAAAGGGTTTTTTAATGGAATAACAGACAGTAACCTATAAATCATGAATATGGTAAAAAGATAAAATCAATATATTGCATTAATAATGAAAAATTCCTTACATCACTCAGTTGCTTGGTGTTGTGCTGAGCTAAAACCATTGGTATTGAATCTGGTACACTTGTAAATTTGATGGTGTCTGGGTGCTGACGGTATTTCTTTTCATTTAATGCCTCTGCAGCCTTTTTAGCTTTTTCAACATCCAGAGAACCGAGAGGACTCCATCCGATACCCTTGAACCAGTTGTTATACTCTTGTTTGTATGCATTCTGAAGGAGAGAAAGACAACATGGACCAAGATTTTCCCACAGAACTGTAATAATTCCGTTTAAAACAATAATCACACAGTCTAGCTAGTGTGTTCTACATTAGCAGGAAATATTCATAAATTCTTGAAGGGAACAACAGATTTTTTTTTTATGTTTCTCTGTGATTTCATAAGAAAATGAGCTACTGTATGTTTGATTCACTATTCATTTCTTAGTAACATCCCTCCAGTATTTACTAACCTTACTTTTCTCTTACTAATGTGAAAATTTTCACTGACTTTCAATCTTAATAGCTTCTAAACTACCCTATGGTGACCATTTAACAGGGTTTCATTTGCTCTGTGTTTCAGACTCCATGAGACTTGGCCTTATACAAAGGCCCACAGAGCAGTGGCTCAATTTTTTGTTTTCTTCCTACAGTTCATCCTACAGTAAAATATGCAGAATTCACAAACTGCAAGTGAAAAATTTATTCTGGCTACAAAATATGCAGAAGGTTGTTATCCCATATAAATATCCCAACCAGGTTAATGCACAGTCTGCATCTAAGGATATGGTGGACACTCTGTTTAAGACCCTTGTGCTCTAACTCTATAATGTGTGGCCCTCCTTGGGGATCCACAGAGAGTCAAACTCCACAGTATACAAAGAGCTGCAGAGTGCAACCATGCACCCCCAGTCAACCACCTGAAGCTCTGTATCTGCAAGGAGGTCCTAGGAAAGATCTCCTAGAGATCTCCAGAATGTATTTCTAATCAATAGTTACATTTTGTCCACTCCTTCAGTCCAGCTACACTATGGTATCTATCTCATGTGAAGACAAAGCAAGACAACTTAAAAGAGCCTTAAAGAGTAAAACATGCTATGTTAGTTGCAAAATAAAGTTTCCTGAGAAAGCGTGACAAAAGAGTTCATTCATATTCAATATTCCAGAAGTCTGCTCTCCACTGATACACCAACATCAAAATCAAAATTGGTACTTCCAAATGCCACCACCAGCTAATAAAACTTCTAACAATCTTCCCCAGGACATAAGAAACACAGACTATTCCCATACAGTAATGGCAATTTTCACTGAATATAAACTCATATTTTATTTTTCACAGTGTGCAGGAAAACATCCATGAAATTGTGATCATCGAAATACTTACATCACTCTGAATTTGCATCATGTTCTTTGCCAGCTCAACATCCATGGCATCTGGCAGGTAAGTGTAGTGATGGATCAGATTTTTGTAGTTGACATTAGAAGCTACGTCCTGAGACTGTTTAGCAGCCTGGATACTGTACATATCCGGAGGTGTATGATAGTTAGTCTTGGTCTTCTCATAGTCTTTCTTGTACTCACGCTCAGACTGAATCTTTGCCACATGCATGTAGTGGACAAGCTTAGGGTCATCTTGCAGGCTTCTGAAACCAACCTGTTTTCCTTTAGCCTTTTCATATGCTTCTTTATATTTATACTAGAAACAGAGAAAAGAGATCAAATGTACTGTGGCATGGCTATTGATGGCTACACTAATGCAAAAGAAAATAAAATAAAAGCTCTCACGACTTTCACTGGAAAAAGAAGCTGTAAGCAGTTCAGAAAGATAAACTCTCCTAAATGGCATACCCAGCAACTGTACCTACATCAGCTTTTCTTGCTCCACCACCTAAGCCTGTACACAACAGGTTACACACACCACAATGAGATTTACCAACATTAGCTTTTCATTTCAGGAAGGGAAAACTTTTCCTATGCATTCCTGTGTGGACAGGTGTATAAAAATATCAGAATAATTGAGACAATCCTTCTCAGTCACTTGAAAGCAACAGCAAACAAACAGAATGTGACTGGACAGCTTCCTCAAATTGAAGGAATATCCCACTTTATACAATTTGCATTATAAGGCCTTCTGATTCATGTATATGTTATCTTCCACTGTATACCCAAAAGCACCCTCACAGCACATATTGTCTCATGGTCTGCAAATAGGGGTTAATGTAGTGAATCTTCTGGAAATTTATCATAGAATGATTACAAAAACTACTGATTTAATTTCTCCTGTGAAAAGTGGGTTCAGAAACACAGTGCAACAGCATTTGCCTATGTAAAGCAAACAAGGTGAGCATAAACTAAGTTCTATATAAACTAAACCTTTGGGAAAGACTAAGAATCTCCTTCTCATAATACTGACTGTAATGAGACTTGTACAACGTATGAGGGCCACCAAATGGCCCATAATGAATAACATTTTTACTAAATGCCTGGGAAAAGTATACCTGGAATAGATACTTACATCACTAGCAATGTTTCTTGAAGCCTTGGCTCGAGTAATTGGAATAGCATCAAGTGACACATTGTGCCCTTTAGCTATCAGATCATGGTAGTCTTGTTTATAATATGCCTAAAAAAGAAAATCCATATTATTCTAGAGAACCTAGTAATCACAAGGCTACTCCTAAGCTACTCCTACCAATTCTTTAAAAGCAGATGCAGTGAGGATCATATACAACTATCAGTCTTCATTTATGAGAACAGATTTATGTATTAATTAAATTAATTATTACATGATTAAATGGCACCTGGTTGGAAATTCAAATGACACCAAGAATGAAAAATTACAGTGATACAAGTTGATTATATAGAATGCATACCAGTGAAAGGAATCTGCAATATGAGTGTATTTGTAACATACTGTTCAAAAATTCATTAACAATGTGCAAAACATGTTGTAAAGAAGTCACTTACATCACTGACGTTAGCTGCATTGTATCTGGCTTGGATAAACTGTGGGACATCCGGGGTAAGAGTATATTTATGTTTAACTTCCTCTCCAGAAGATTTGTATAGTTTCTGTAAAATATATGATATAGAAATAAATGCTCCTTTCCTTGTATAGCTAGCCCCAGCTCACTGTGAATAAACTGAGGGTTTATGTTTGATTTTGCAAATAAATGTACATTGCCACCTATTTCATAAAGACTGAGACTGCACTTTTCATAGAATTATTGATCTTACGCATAGAAAGAACGCACCCTAAAAGCTCTATGCAGTGTTTACTCAGAAAAATTAGGCCCTTTAACAGACATAAAAACCCATTTCTGAAAGAGCAGGGTAATAAGGGATGGTAGGAGAGTGTGACATAAAACAAAGCTTGCTGTTTTACAGCGATGGACATACTGCAATTCATCAAACATTCTGGAATTCATTCATTATTGTAGGTGGTAAAACATCAACAAACAACTTGAAAATTTCACATTTCTTAAGTCACATGTATTTCAAATGTGCTTAAAATACAAACAGACAGAATCAGCTGATGTGAACTGAAAGCGCCACATGATTTCCACAGAGCTTTGCAGACTCACACCAGGAAATCACTCAGGCAAAATCAGAGTGCAGAACAATGACAACACAGAGAAACACTTTCAGGGTAACAGTACTTTAAAAAATTCTAATGACAATGCTCAACTCTTCAGTAGATACATCTCTACTTTACTATAATACACATTTTTTTCTCTACTTACATCATTGAGTTGAACTGAATTCTGTTTGGCTTGGACCATTACCGGTGAGTCCACCACACTTGTAAATTTAATGGTGTCCGGATGCTGACGATATTTCTTTTCACTCAATGCTTCTCCAGCTTTTTTAGCTTTTTCTACTTCTAGTGAGCCAAGGGGGATCCAACCAATGCCCTTCATCCAGTTATTATAATCTGCTTTGTATGCATTCTACCAAAGTGAAAACAATGTGTTAAAAGTTAGGAATTAGAAAAAACAATTCAGGGACCTCTCCTTAGTCTTCAAAGTTTTCTCTTGAGGCATCTCAAAAAAGTTCTGTTCACATGAGGTTTTACTTACATCACTCTGAATCTCCATCATGTTTTTGGTCAGCTCCACACTCATCGCATCTGGTAAATAAGTATAGTGGTGCAGGAGGTTCTTGTAATTAGTGTTGCTGGCAATCTCTTGAGCCTTCTTGGCACCAACAACATTGAACATATCCATTGGAATGTTGTACCTAGTTTTTGTTTTCTCATAATCTTTCTTGTACTCTCGCTCAGACTGTAGCTTGGCTACTTTCATATAATGAACGAGTTTGGGGTCATCTTGGAGGCTCTTGAAGCCAACGAGTTTACCCTTGGAAAGTTCATAGGCTTTTTTATAGTTAACCTGTTAGAATAGAATAGAACATGGAGAATATAATCTTAAGAGTAGTAACTTAGCCATAAGTAAAACAAAAGCAAAGGCTACCCTTTGTTTTCTGCAGAGTATTGCTCACATTTAAGTCAGTGACCATAGATCTCAATAAAACCAGACACACATCTCTTTACAATTCACTGCTACACAAATCAGTTACTTAGCTTTCAAAGTAGCATTATCTCACTTGTACTGATCAGAAAAAACTACGGGACTTCTGTGAGGCCATCCCCAAGAATCTCCCCAAAACCCAGTGATGTCTTAGAGTCTTTCACCTTGTTTATGATCAGGTCTATAATTAAGGACAGAGATAATTCAGGGGTCCATTGCTCAAGGAGCTGTCACTACTGACCTACTCCTCATGATTTTCCTTAACCATACTGCAGTTTAAGATTGCATAATCAAAGTCTTTTCTAAATGTCATTATACAAATACATGAGTGAAGCAATGAAACATCAATAAAAATATAACGGTGTTAAATATGTCCAATAACATGCTCAAAAAAGACAATAAAGAAGTTATCCTTCAGATATCCTTAATAAACATAATCACAAACATTGTTTAAGTAAATTCTTTTGAATTAAACAGTTCCTTTAGGAAGGATGTACTTACATCGCTGGCAGCCTGCCTAGCAGCCTTGGCAGCTCGGATAGGAATAGCATCACTTTTTAGATCATATCCTCTTGATTTGATTTCTTCCAATCCCGTTTTGTAATAGTTCTAGAAGAAAAGGTGAATTTGGAATGAACAGTTTCTAGCTAACAGCAACTTCATATTGTAAGTTGAATCAAGAGCTCTGGGTTCAAAATATACTTACATCACTAACATTGTAGGCATTAACTCTAGCCTGTATAAACTGGGGCACATCTGGAGGGAGGTGGTACTTGTGAATAATTTCTTCACCTTTGGATTTATACGCTATCTGCAAAGAAAAATTAAAAAAAAGAAATTTAGCAGCCCAGGGTTTATAGATTGTAAATGCTTAACGACGCTGAGTGACACAACTTAGAGATCTCATGTTACCTCAGAAAGAAAGAGATGAAATCCTAGTCCTTGCCAAGTGAATGGTATAAACCCATAAACCCCACTGACTTAACTGGTTCAAAGAATAAATTAAGAATGATGGGCATAAACAAAATTACAAACATACACACTAAAACTTGACATGAACAGCCACTTGAAGCACAACAAAAAAAAAAAATCTGATTTCCAAATGATCTTCCACTGGAACAGAACTGCAAATACACACAAATGTTTTTGTGTTTGTCTGCTCTTAAAACTAGATGATAAAGTGAAGGTGGCCACAGTGCAGAAACAGATAATGTCAGAGTGTAGCAACAGGTTTTCTAAGTTTACTTACATCACTCAGCTGTTTGCTATTGATCTCTGCTTGCTTCTGTACTGGGGAGTCAGTCACTTGGGTAAATTTGATTCGATCAGGATGCTTTTTGTAGGTGTGCTGAAGGAAGATAAAGATACTTGCAGAAAATGCATAAGCAAAAACTATTTCACAAGACAGAAACGTAGCATTACTCGGGATAGTTAGCAGTTACGGCATCTGTGCAGATAAGCACTGTCACACACAAAGGTTCTCTTGTTACATTTTAACATAGTCAGAGTGCAAATAAATTTTCAAAGCTCTAATTTTATGCTTTTACTTTAAAAAAAAAAAGATTGTGCTATATCTGTCTTGATCACTAGATGTCACAAAAGGCTCTAAAATACAGATGAGTATGGTTTTTAAAAGTCACACATGCTAATAAGGCCAAATTCAAAATAATAAAATTTAACAAGAATCATTCTGTTAATTTCTACATGGCTCAGAAGCAGATACTCTGCATGTAATTGGCTACTTGATAGTTGCTGCTGTCCTGTACTTACATCTTTACACTGCTCTAACTTCTTAATAGCTTCATACTCTTGAGTTATGGTCTGAGGGAAGTAGCATTTTGTCTTTTCCTCCTCATAATCTGCTTTGTAATTTTTCTAGGAATAAAATCAACGTTCAGTAAGAAACCACAATTGAGCTTTCTCTGAAATGAAAGTATGATGGTGAAAACAGAAAGATTGCCACACTTACATCACTCTTCATAGCTTCAACTTGCATGCAGTGTGTATGATATGGGTCCTCAAAGCTGCCCAAATAATGTCCTAAAATATTCTTTTCATATGCATCTTTATATTTTACCTGGAAAAAAAATAATCACAAGTTGATAAATTAAAGTAATCAAGACTGTCAGTATTGAATGACATAACATAAATCAAATACATACATCACTAAAATTCTTCAGAACAGTATCAATCTGGAACTTTGGTGTGTCACAGTAATTCATGCTGGTTCCTTTTGATCGTTCATATGCTTCTTTGTATGATTTCTGAAAAAGAAAATAATGTCAGATAATGCAGTAGATTTCGCTGCGATTCACTCCCAACACATTAAAAATGACAAAAGCAAAACTGTGAAATAATTGCAAAGAAAAGCTTTCCCAAAAGATTGAAAAACAGAAGGCACTTTTTTCCCCCAATGATTTTTTTTAAAAAAACCTCTTTTTTTAGTCACTATTAGGTTTGTAAGGGAAGACAGAAAGATCTGACTAATGGGTGTTGAACTTCTGACTCTGAGAAATACGCAATCTCTTTCCATACAGATGAAAACAGCAAGAGAGAAATTGAGAAAGCCATTACAGTGAGTAACCAGGATACAATATATATGAATATGTAAAAGTATCACATCTTTTATCATTATTGGCATCAGCTGAAGTTCCTTAAAACAGTAAGGGAAGAACTGTCATCTTGTCATCAATTTTCCACAGGGATCTAAACGAACTATGCAATAATGAGCTATCCCCATAATGTGCCACAGCTATTGTTACACTCCCTTGTGGAGAAACAACTTATCTACAGCGTTCTGCTTGCTGGTTATCTCATGACAAATACTGGTCTATAAAACTAAGAATACTAAGAGATCCAAAGGAGAAGCTTTGTGAAGAAAGGATGAGTTTGGTTTATTGTACACGACTGAAAATCATCCACCTTTACTTTGATAACACTTACATCACTCAGCGCATTTCCTGCAGCTTTTAATTGCCTCAGCAATGGGTTCTCTGTAGCAGGAAGCACATTATAATCTGCAATAGCTTTGCTCTTTTCATAGTCTGCTCTGTATTTTACCTTTGAAAAAAAACAAAAATAAAAAGGGTGTGGTTTTAAAAATCAGTATTAAAAGCCAAACGCTCACTAGCCTATATCATCTGGAACTTTTCAGGAAAATTTCCCTTGTTTTTTAACTTATGATTGATGGCGGCAAAGGACCATGAAAGGCGCTCAGACCACAGGAGTGCGTGGGTGATGAGATGGGCGACAGGGTCACAAGATAAGTGAGAGCTATTTAGTACATGTCCCCACCTCTGAGTCCCCCCTCTCCAAACACTGATATTTTTCAAGTATCAGTTGACAGCTCAGAATGGTCACATTCTTACAATTAATGACATAAGATTGCCTTTGCTGGCGCACGTACTATTGCAGAAAATGCAGAAGCCAAACAAATTCTGCATTTTGAACAATAGATGGGCCAGCACTATATTATGGATGAATAAATATGAAAATACTGAGCCAAACTCAGCCAGCTTAAGTTGGCCTTGATTAACGTTACTGATTTGTTCCAACTGAAAATCAGGCACATAACATTATCAGAGCAAACAATGAAACAAATTCTACTCCACCAAAAGAAAGTTCTACTTCATAGGCACTATTGTGGAAGATCATAAGCATGGTGAGGAGTTGTTATAAGCTTCCTAATGGAAAGCACACAAGAAAACATCTTTTGGATAGAAGAAAATATTTGTGACACTTGACAAGACAGTTGCAGCACAAACTGGCCTGACTTCAGAATGATACCAAGCTAAACAAAAGGGAGTACACGCAACGTACCTTACTGACATTCTCTTGAACTCGCTTATTAGCTTCATATTCTGGAGTTTCAGTCTGCATAAAGTAGATTTGGTCTTTCATGTTTTCAAAGTCTTCCTGGTATTTTTTCTGTTAGGAACAGAGACAAACAGATAACAATGTATCAAATGCACTGACATTATAAATCAGACCTCCATGAAGCAGCATATTTAGGAAAAGAGAAATAGCACAAATGGAGCAGGCAAAATTAATCAGTATTTTCCACAGTAACATAAACAGAGGATAAAGCTGTTCGCTTCAAGATTTTCTGGAGAATTCACTTACCATGCTTATATTTTCTGCATTCATTTTTGCAACTGCAACATCATAGCATGGAGTTTGAGTCCACTTGCCTTTGATCTTCTTTTTATAGTCATCATGGTAAATAATCTATACCAAAATCAAAAAATGAAATTTAATCCCCAAGATTGAATTTTCACTTGACAGATTTGTTTTTAAAAGTCTTCTTCTTAAAGTTGCTTCACATTTTACATCTGCCCTATAACCCCTTTACCAGATATTGTCAAAAACACCGTAAATACAATTTGGCCTAACCACTTCAGTATTCAGTTATCTCTCTTAGAAGCAGAAATGTTTTGTGAAAACTAAACTCACCAACAAGAATAAAGTTTAGCCTTTAACCTGAGACTGGGAGAGATTTTCTCTGAGGCATTTGAAGAAGAAAGGAATTGACTTCTGCCACTGAAAATCAAAGGAGTCTTCATATGAGCTCTGGTCTGTTCTTTTGCTTTCCCTGTCTTTAGCTACCTTTTTGCCTCTCTAACTCTAAAAGTGAGGTTTCTACAGAAGGAAGAGCGCTGCATTCTACTCACATCACTCAGCTGCCTTGTCACTTTCTTGGCTTGTTCCACATCAGGTGGATCTGGCAGAGAAGTATATTTAGATTTTCGCTCATCATGCCCTTTTTTGTAGACAATCTGAAAATATGAAAGAAGTGAACATTTACAACAATGACCAACTTAAGCATCAGAACATTTACTCTCAACTCTGCCAACAGCACCATTAACAAAAGTAGTTCTGTCCACAGCTACTGTGGCATAAACTCGTTCAATCAGTGTATTCTGGAGGACTACAGCGAAGTCTCTTGATAAGAGACAGTGAAAAAGAATCAGTTCCCTGGGAGAGTTTCTAGTATATTACACTGTTGCTCCTGATAAAGATGGACTAGTGAACTTCTGGACATCCGCAAAATTCACTGAATCTTTAAGTGAGACCTGAAGTCCTTGGTTGAAGAGCTCTATGTATCTAAGTATCAGCAAATCACACAGCCTCACAAATTCCTGACTTTTCTTAGAGACAGATGTGTAGACCCACAACAGTGAACTGGGCTTACAGCCAACCCTGAGAGTTTCTCCACACATTTAGAGAGATACTCTAGGTCTTCTTACTGATTACTTCAGAAGATCTTCAGTAAATGAATTATTTCATTCATTCATTATCCGGCATCAAATTGGCAAGACATTTATATTCTAATATTGAGTACATACTTTCCTATAGAAATAGCACTAACATCAGAGCTATCAGTGCACACCTACACATTTTTATTTTCTGATCCATTATGAGGTTTTTATATCTAGTCAAAGTCCACCACAAAGACTATCAAGTTACACACTAACAGGAACCCAACTGTCAATCAGGCTTTGATACTTACATCACTCAGAGCCTTTTGAGCCTGTGCCACCCTTCTGAGCTCTGGACTGTCATCATATGGATAGAATAATGTTTTGTCTCCTTCCCAGTCTTCGGTATAGAGTTTCTTAAAAAAATAAAAATGCCAGAACACTCATACGACTCAATCTCTGACTTGGAATGCTTCTTGCACTTCAGCTGTCTAAACCTGTGGGGTTTTTTCTTACCTTACTGAACAGTGCTGTGTTTTTTATTGCATTCACAAGCTCTGGAGCATCAGGGGGAAGCAGGTACTTGTCCTTATTCTCCTCCCAGCTCTGTTTATATAACACCTGGAAACAAAGATCAGCATGTTGGTTACTCTATTATTAGAAAAATAATTACATTTGTGAATAAACTACCTGCTCTAAAGATTTTGCCGAAGTGAAAGTCTCAAACCAGTGACATTTAAACACATTAACTGGAAACATTTCAGATTATATTTATACTTGCCTTATCAACTTCTCTAGTATCTCTCCCTGTGCTTCTAAACTGTTCTATAAACATTGCTTTAGTGCCCTGAGCTCAAAACTTTTATATATCAGTAATCTCATGATCCGCTAATGTTCACAACCCTTCCAGAAAGCTGTAACTCACTCACCTTGCTCACTTGCTGTGACACCTTCTTTGCATGTTCTATATCCTTGGCCTTTTCATCAACATGGCAAATAGTTCTAGCAACTTGACCAGCCATGCGGTATTTAACCTAGATCAATGCACAACAAACCACATTTATACTTACAGCAAAAACTGACAGTGTTTATTTAAAAGCAGAATATTGACATTTTTACTCTTAGTACTGTAAACACTCAAAATCTGCATTCAATAAAGCATTTAGGACTAGTTGTTTCTTAGAAATGAAGCCTACAGAAACAAATGGATTTAGTGAATTAACTGAGAAAGAAATGCAGCTTTGAGACAGTTGTTTGAAGAGATGGGAAACCAAGTTAGAGGCAGCGCCCTTCTGTAATCACAGAGTTCTTTCTAAGAGTACTTCCACCCTGTATAATGAGATAGAGAGCTCCCATGCTATGCAGTATATCTCAATTTCATAGTCCACTACCATGTAAACACTAGCTGTAGTGCCAAAAGCAATAGAGCCACATCAACACGGCAAAACAGCAGCCTGGGCACAGATCATCCTAATGTGGTTATACCACCTCCAGCTTGACAGTGGACTCAGTCAGCATTACCGCATGGACTGCTGCACCACACTCCTCAATAAATCCTAAGCCAGGAGTGGAGCAGAATTTAATGCACACCCACGATATGGGCATCACCATTGTCTCCCATGCCTGTAACTTTAAAAAAAATTCAGAAAGTTTCAAAACTCTTTAGGCACAATTAAACAGGTCTATTATTCATCTAGAAAGGAACCATCACATCTCCCTTCCTGAAAAGCCTAAATTCCAACCCACAACACAGAACTCAAATTGTCTCATACTCTCTGTTCTTTGCTCTTGTAATCTGATAAAGTTTCTGCAAAACATTCAGATTGCCTTATCAGAATATAATAAAAAAATATGACTTCTTATCTAACATTTAAAATCATGACTCAACTTACCACTCAGTAAGTATTTCTTCTTATGACAGTTGACACTTACCTCACTGAGCTGGTCTTGCACTTTCTTGATTCTCCGAATTTCTGGGGTATCAACTGTGGAAGCATATGGCTTTCCTTTTTCCTTCATAAATTTTTCTTTATACTTGTTCTGAAAGAAAATAATGACAAATATAATTAAGACAAATCCTAAAGCTCTGGCAGAAATGTATGCAGCAATTATTGATTTCTTTTTCTGGTCAGTATAGGATTTTTTGGCAGATTATTGAATAACATAAACTGGCATTACTCAGTCAAATTTGCAGAGTTATGCTTATTTTAACCAACTGACTTTCTTCCACCTGACACAACAGAAAAAATCCATTTCTACCTTTGGCCTGGTTTAGAGCACCTCTAACTGATTACATTCTCCTTAGAATGATATTAATAAATTTACAGTTATTTGTTTCAGTGACCACAGACAAGGAAAATATGTGGGTGAGGGTAGCAGTCCTAGACCTATAATGTCACGCAACCCTTAAGCAGTGAATGCTGGTAGGTAATATACATTAAAATTTAGGAAAAGGAATCTGATACCATCTACATCTGTGCAGAGCAGTTGTTTTCCACTTTTAACAACATCATAGAGTATTGGTCTACTGGACTTTGATATCCTGTATCAGGAGTTTAGGTTGGTGCTTGTTCCTACATACTGTGCACAAAGATTTTTCTTGGATATATATAGAGGGATAGAGAAATCTACTATTATAAAAAATATTGAGGTTTGCTACTCAATAGACCTTAGTCCCTGTTATCTTCCTTCCCTCGGATATCCAAGCTAGATAGTGCAGGAGCCCTATCAACTGACATCTCTGATAACTGTCAGTCACCTGCCTCAAATCACTTTTTGTGCCTAATGATTGCCTGATGCACTTAAGCAGGAAATAGGCAAGAGAGGGGCTAATTCAATGAAGGAAACTTCCTACTTCTGGCAAACACCATTACTACACATCATGAAACGAAGTACAGGAGACAAAATAGTAGCATGGATCTTTGCAATAATACCTATCCAACATTTTTAAAGTTGGTGTTCCTCAAGAAATAAAAAACATGGGACAATTTACCTCACTGAACAGGTCCTTCATTTTATTACTGTGTTGCAGATAAGGTGTCAAAAACTTAGAGGGGTCCACTTTTGTCCGTATTGTCTTCTTTCTGACTGTAGGTGCTGCATCCTCGACAGAAGGTTTTGAATGCTCAACAGTATAGGTGGTAGTTTTAGGACCTGTGAAGTCTGTGCTAACAGTCTCAGTGATCTCAGTGACCACCTAGGAATAAAGGGAAAAATAGTTAACTGCTTTATAACTACAAATCATCATTTTATAATAAGCATTTTTCACCTCCCCTGTCTAGTAAAAGAATACTCAGTTCATATCCAGGAACCACCTGCAAGGCAAAAAAACAGTGACACTTTTCTTACTGGGATTATCCAGTATGTCTACTATATACCACCTAACCCAAAGAAACCCACAAGGGTTCTGACTTGCTGATTTCTCTGTCAAACTCATGCAATTATTCTCTAGACGAGCTGGATGAGTGGGGCTCCTGTTGCCACTGTTCTATACCCGTAACTTCCACTCGCATCAGGGAGGTTCTCAGATGGGACCACTGGCAAACACAAAGTGTGGAACTGTTCTCAGTGCTGAACTTGAGTTAAAGACATGTCGCTCAGCCAGGGCTCCTAATGATGTTGCTGAAAGTTGTGAAAGCAAGTCAAAAGGTGCATACCTTTTGAAGATAATCAAAAAGATTATCTTCCTCTTGCAAAAGGAAAGGAACGGACACAGCAGATAGACTCAACCAAGTCTTTGTGAATCTTGTAGTAAGTACATGATGGACCAGCTGACCAAACAAATACCTAGAATCCAGCTTTTCTACTAAGCTCCTAGGCAGATCACAATCATTGCAGAGACATAGTTGAGATACTTAAATAATCAAGCAAGCAAGCATCCATTGGAAATAACCCCTTAATTTCTTTAAATTGTTTATGTACTTGCTTATCAACTTACTCACGCTGTCAGTGATAAATTTAACACTCAGATTCTAATTAAAAGCATTTTAAAATAATTATTACAACTTAAAAATATGCTCCAAAACCACGTGAACAAGAAAGTATCAAGATTTATTTCACATGACTTAGCTTAAAAAAACCCCTGCCTTTAAAAGGAATGTATGAAGCTTAGATTTCTGATAGCTATTTGCATTAGTACGAGACAGACCAGAAAATCAAGCATTAAACATTAAATGAGATGTATACAAAACTTAACTACAAAAGGTTTGTTTACTACGTGCACATTAATTGCACTTAACTAAAGCTGTCCCAGGATGTTATCAGTTACATCAGCACCACCACAAGTTTCTCTCTTACAACTCTTTTGAAATATGCAAGTGGTCATCTAAGTGTTAGCACTGAAAGCACTGGAGAGTTTGAAACCTGTCTAGGCAAACACCATGAAAACCTGTACCTGCTGTTAGCTTTAAAGCAAAGCAGTGAAGCTCCATGCTTTTATAAAAAGTTGTAACACATTTCTCAAACTTGGAAGAAGCTTGATTCTGAAAATACAGTATTTTGTGCAAAAAAAAAAAAAAAAAAAAGCTTTTATTGGCATATGATAACTCATAGGGCCACATGATGCTAATACATTAGACTGTATTTCTAGCTGATGGGAAAATGTCTAATCACATTAGCTAGTATCATACTGATATGTAATTCTTCGTTCCACAATACTGTTTCCAAACAATGATGCAAATCAGACAGAGAAATAATCAGTCATGCTATTGCTCCCTTTAAATGCAGCCTGGCTACAGGTTTTAAAACACCTGATGAACACAGGGGTTGAATTAATCTTAAAAATAATGACAGTCTTCCTTCAAAAGTGTAGTCCTAGATTACTTGCTCAAACAGTATTAATCAAATTGTATTTTATTAAATTAAAAATATAGGAAGACTTTGGGAACAGAGTCTTTGTTTGGAAAGAAACACGCTCACACAGTGAAATGCTAAGGTTTTTTTTCTGCAGAAGCATATGCCATAAAGAATATTTCATAGTGACATAGCAGAGAGTTGAGTTACATCTATATTATAAATAGAATTTCAAATTATGGTAATAACACCTTGGTGACTCAAATATTTGTTATTAGTGCCATGAAAAAAAAAATCTGCAAAACACCACTTTTCAGTGAAATTACACAAGGTGAACAGAACTGATACATGTAAACTGGTTTCTGGCAGAATCTTTTTATATTTCTCTTCATAAAAAGGTTAAGTATAATGTATGCATATGCCTGTTGTTCATATGTACATATCAAGGATGTGAATGCGACTAGATAATTTTGTTCTTCAGTGACTGGATTTTGACAATATGTTACTCAAACAATCTTCCTGCCTGTGTTTCCTGTTATTAACATAACCTGTTGATTCATTTTTCCAGCTCCTGTGCAAACAGCTGCTGGGCAGGAGCAAATGGAAGACTTACCAGCAAGACCCAGGGCAGGACAGAAATAATCACAGTCCTTTTCTGATGGACACATCCACAACTCCTTCTAATGGAAACCAAAGAGTGGCAGATAGGATACTCAGAACAGGCTAGGAATCCTCTAGATCATCCCACAACTGGGTCTTGCAGAGGAAACAAAGTATTAAGAAGCAACTGCTCACTCCTGTTTGTGTGTTTAATATAAAAAATTAGTCCCCAGAATACAAAAGGCCACTAATTTAGCATCATGCATTGATTACATGCATATATACACCACGTGCAACACCACAGGGACCTTTACCTCATGTGGTTCACCCTCCTCAACTACTGTCTCTTCAATGTAGTACTATTAAAAAAAGAGAAAAAAAAAATCTTTGTTAGGCCGGTTCATATAGACTACCAAATCACAGCTTCTGTTAAGCTGTTTTTAAGATACACTTCTGGAGAAACAGAACTGAAGTTCATAGGTACCTATGCAGTCACACCTGCATCCCTGATAATTCCAAACATCTGTTCATTTTTTGCACTAATGATTGGGGTTTTTTCCATACATTCCTCAATTAATCATCCTAATGTAACTAATGAATGATCATTATCTAATTTTACCCACAAGAGGGAAGACAACGATTACCACACTAAAAGAATCAGCATTCAAGAAATCAGGATTTTAAAAGTGTTTGGTAATATGCCGAGAGGGCTGTAGTAGGTTTCTCTCTCTAATACTGTCTTCAGAATAGTTCCTACCTACAGGTGCTTGAAGGACACGAATAGTTACTGGCTGCCAGCTAGACTCTGTACTGTTGATCATAATTCTGAGCATAGCAGCCCGGTCAATTTTCCACCCACTTTCTTGTCCACTTATCCATCCCACATCTCATAGATTTGGTGATGACCACGGGAGACTGTTTCAGAGGTCTTCCCAAAGCAGTCAAGGAATGCAACATTCACTGGTCTCCCATTGTCCATAGCAGCAGTAAACACATTATAAAAAGCAGTGAGTTTGGTCAGCCATGATTTGCCCTTGGTAAATCAATGTTCACTGCTCCTCACGACCTTCATGTCTTTCATGTGTCTAGAAATAGCTTCTAAAAGGATTTGCTCCATACCCTTCCCAAGGACTGAAGTGAGGTTGACCAGCCTGTAGTTCCTTGGATATTCTTTCTGGCCTCTCTTGAAGATGGGAATGACATTTGTCTTTTTCCAGTTGCCAGGAACATCCTTGCATCACTGTGAGCTTTCAAAGATAACAGCCACCTTGCAATTTCACCAGCCCTTTCCTTCAGCACCCCTGGATCCATCTCCTCTGGTTCCACAGAACTGTGTACATCCAGTGGGTTAATTCATCCCTGACTCTGTCTTTCTCTGCTGTGGCTACTACTTCACTCCCACGTCTTTGCTAGGAAATTCAGATATCTGGAAGACCACAGAACAAGCCTTATCAAAAGGTAAAAAAGGCTTCAAGTTCCTCAGCATTTTGCCTGTTCCTTGTCACTAGCTTCCCTGCCCACTGAACTATGGTCCCACAGTCTCTTAGCTTTCCTTTTGCTGCTCATGGCACATGCAGAAACCTTTCTTGCTGTTCTTCACTACCCTTGCTGGCTTCAACTCCAGCTGAACTTTGCCCATGTATATAGGAATGGAGTTTTATAATGTCTTATGTCTTTATGATCCACCCAAGTGCCCTGCTCCTGCTTCCACCTTCAATATACTACTTTTTTTGTGTGTGCCTGAGCTCAGTCAGAAGCCCCCTGTTCATCCATATCAGCCTTCTGCTGTGCTTGACTTCTGCACGTTGGACTGAACCATTCTTGTGCTCTGAGAAAATTGTTCCTGAGTCTCACACAACTCCCCTGGGCCCCTTTGCCCTGCAGAGCTGTTTCCCATGGGATCTTCCCAAGCAGGCCCCTAAAAGGGCCCAAATCTGCTCTTATTGTAATTCTGTTTATTGTGTTCACTCCTCTCTGAATCTTCAACTCCACAGTCTCGTGGTCACTGCAGCCTTGGCTGCCCTTGACCTTTGTATCTTCCACCAGTTCCTTCTTGTTTGCGAGTAGCGTGTCCAGAAGAGCATCTCTCCGAGTTAGTTCACCAATCAACTGCATCAAGAAATTTCTCTTAAGTGCTTTCCAGAAATCTCTTCCAGCAGATCTGGGGTGGTAAAAGCCATCCATAAGCACATGGGCTGTGCCTGTGGGGCTTTCTCCAGCTGCCTAAAGAAGATTCCAGAGCACTACATTCATGCTGAAGTGGCAGATCCTCAAGTGGAGCATGAACCTTCCTCCTCTTGATGGAAACCATGAGCTTCCCGCCATCTCCGTCGTGACGGCCGCCTTCATCACCCATATCAGCCTCTTCTTCACCATCCCTGTTGGTGCAAAGCCTGCTCATCTCTTCCTCCAGCAACCTGCGCTGCAACTGAGTCACCTGACCAGAACACATCTCCCAAAGGCGAGACAACAAGGGCTCTGTGGGCTTCCCTCCCCGCTGGCAGCTCGCCTTTCCCCACAGCGGCCGGCAGCCAGAG